CGAGTCCTTGATCTTGCTGTACAAGCAATCACGGAGAGCTGTTTTGGATGGAATGTCCTCTGGTCTCATCCGTCCCAGAACTTCCAACCACGTCTGCTTGAACGTATGAAGCTTGTTGTCGCCTTGGTACTGGAGCTTCACCAAATACTCAAGAGTGATGATCATGTCGAGACGATCGTGCGTTCGAAAACTTTCATACATCATCGCGATGATTTGTCGTCCTTTGATGATCTTCCCGTCGGGCCTGCTGATGTAATCGTTAGCCTTCCGGTTCACCTCAAGGTACAGATCAGCTGATTTGTCACCACCGGCACGTAGCATTGCGACCATGGCGATCCCCAATTTGACGTCTATGCTCTTGAACTTCTTGTGTCCTGAATCATTCAATGCTTCGACATCAGGGAATGGGTTGAACGCTGGTGCCAGCCATAACATCCAGTCCTCATGATGTGGGTCGGCTGATGCCCCTAAGACATTGGCCGTGCACACGGATCGCCAGTTGTTGAGATGAGTGAGAGTAGGCCATGGAGGAACGGTCACTTTGTCGGCTTCCCTCCTGGAAATTCTCACCTCTGTGACTTCAGGATCCGCGTCTCCATCAGGATCACGCGCATGCGAGCCAGGATCCGATTCAGGTTTGCCTCCACCGCTTTTCTTCTTATCATCATCATCGTCAGGCGGGTCAGGAGGGTCATACCCCGTGCCGGTTCCTTCATCGTGCTCTCCATCTTCGTTCTCGTCACCGTCACCGTCGTCTCCATTATCCTCCTGAATCGTTTCAGCGAATAACTTCCACTCATCACGATCAGCTCTGAGACGTTGTTCGGCTTTCTGGGCCTTGAGTACTTCGCTTCGTAGATCGGCAATCTTCTCCTCGTACCGTTCCGCGACCTCTTTCTCGATCTGACGTCTCCTTGCTTCATGAATGGAATCGTCATAGGCAATAGGGGGACCGACGAGGTCGTTGCCCTTCGTAGATGCGGTAACACCGTCGATACCAACAGGTCTTGAGGAGCTGGCAGATGCTGTGGACTTCGATCCCAACATCCCGCGATCCTCCAAGAGTTCGCGTAGCTGTCGATCACGCACGGCTGCCGCATCACTTTTCCCATGAAATCCGCTTGGTATGCCGAACAAAGTGGCTGCACTAGGCGTGGAACGCGCAAGTGCTGGGCTGCTAATACCTGGCACGTAGTGCTCGGGCATTGCATCCGCCACGATTGGCATTGAACTGCGGCCAGTGAAGAAGTTTCCACCGGTGAATGGAATTCCATCCATCACAAGGTTCTTGTCCTTGTCCGATTCCGAGAATGCGAACTTCTCTTTGGCGACTGGACTAACTTGACTTGGGGACCGTATTTCAGGGGATCGTACCTCACCTCCTACGGAAAATGCAGGCACTACTTCCTTTCCTACGTGCTCCCAGCCAGACTCAGTAGTCCTCGAAGACATGGGCATGCTCGAAGGCCGTGTCGCTCCTCCGTGATTGGAGTTTCGCGCTGCCTCCAATTCGCTGCGTGTCCTCGCTTGAAGATCTTCTTGTGCTTTGAGCGTTTTCCTGAGTTCACTCAGCTCGTCGTGCAAAGTAGGCAATGATCGCCTTGCATGATCTTCATTCTGATGAAGTCGATCCTCTGCATCTTGCATCCTCTTCACAGCCATTTTGCGGTACTCTTCCTCTTCACCAAGACGTTCGCGAAGCCGAAATCGTTCTTGATCAATGGCTGCGCTGTTTCCAGCTAGCCCTTGGATCTCGTTCACAGCCCGCAACTCCTGGTTCTTGACCAAGTGGAATCGTTCCTGCATTGCTTGTAAGGCTTGTTCCGAACTTGCTGTGTTTGACCGGAGGACCAAGTTCTCTCTGGCATGTTCATGAAGTTCATGAGTCAGACGCTCATACTCACGTGCCATAAGCTCACCATCGCCTTGCGCTCTTGCCTCCAGCTGCACAAAGTTAGTGGCTGCCTCCGTGCGGAACACGTGGAGCTGTTGAGCTAACTCCTCGGCGACGGCATGTGCTTGACGTTGTTGAGCAGAGTTCTGTTCATCCATGCGAAACAAAGCTGTTTCATAGTCTCGCTTCATCTCCTGATTGACATTGTTGATGTGCCTCATGGCTAAGCATGCATGGTCACGTTGTCGTTCCAATTCTTCAATGCGAATTCCAGATCCTTCATCTTCTTGTTGCATCTCCTTGATCTTGTCCATCAGGGTCTGGACGATTCCTTCATATTCTTGCACCTGACTGCGATAGTACATCTGCTGTGCAAGGTTCGATGCTTCGAACTGTTGTGAAATCGTCAGCTCCTGATAAGCGTTCGGACCATCAGCTATGGCAGGCGTGGCCACGGACGACGCATCACCACGTGCAGGAATCGTATCCAGAGTCATATCCAGATCGTCAGCATCGCGTGGTTGATTGGTAACCATCCGATTCCACGTCATGGACTTGTCACGCCCACGAGTGGCTGAGGTCCTCGATCGTGCTGAAGAGCTTCTCGAAGATGATGGCCTTGACTTCTTTTCCAAGGTCTTGACTCCTTTGTCCTTGGCCCTGGACGTAGTCCGAGGTGCCTGAAAACCAGACGCTTCGGCCCGTCGTTCTGAAGCCTTGCCCGTCCTCGAACCTGTGGATGTCGGACGCGAAGGCGTAGATGCTCTTGGTAGACTCTTTGCTTTCCCCTTGGGAACTGCCTTTGCAATGGCAAGCGCAGAAGATTGACCTTTGTCATCTTCCGTGGAGCTATCAACGGATTGCACCACTGTGTCATCAGCTGTTGACTCACCAACGGCTGGCGCTGCCACATCGGCACCGAAAGTCATTGTCGTATCTTGGCTTGATCCTGAGTTCATTGTGGTCGTAGTAGATCAAGTAGTCGTTGCTGTAGAAAGGCAGAGCCGCGTACGGCTGATAACCTGCGTGGGGGATTGATCTCGACTTGGTTGCTGCTCTCCCCACCAGAGCTGTAATGAATGTAGGTGTGGCTGGCTAGCACTCTCCACAGACTGGACCCTGTCTCTCCCTCTTACTCCCACACGTGCGATCCTATGCAGGCAGAACCGGCGGCCGTTCCTTTTGCACTCACTGCCGGCGGCGGTTCGTCTGTGCAACGGGATAGCTCTGATTGCTCAGGATAGAAGACACATATAGCACTTAGCTATGGGCATTGACTTGAGCCAAACGTTGCGTTGGCGGTCACATAGAAAGGTAAAGATGAGGGATGCGTAGCATGCCCCCTAGAGTCGAGGGACGCGTAGCGTGCCCCCTTCTCTTGCACTTTACACGGTCTTGCTCACAGCTCTTATAGTGACACCTTAGAACTTGACAAGGCATCGCAGTCCGTTCGCAACTACTACTACTGCTACTACTACTACTACTACTACTACTACTAATGCTACTGCTGCTACTGGTACAGCTACTGCTACTGCTGCTGCTACTGCTTCTGCTTCTGCTACTGCTACTGCTACTGCTACTGCTACTGCTACTACTACTACTACTACTACTACTACTACTACTACTACTATTACTACTGCTGCTGCTGCTACTACTACCACTACTACGACGACGACCACTCCTTCTGCTGCTACTACTAGGCGCGACTAGCACTACGACTACGTCTACGACCACGAAGATGGGACCTACTACTCACTACTCACAACGACTGAGACTACGACCATCACTACGCTATCACTACCAGTAGCACTGCCACTACCAGGTCACCACTATCTTTGTCACGACCACTGACGAAGCCTACAAGTACCACCCCGACTACGGCTGGAACTGCTGCTATTGCTACTGCTGCTGCTACCTACCACCAGCACTGCTATCTGAAAAGCTCGTACATGTTCGCACTTTGATACTATTCGCTAAGCCGCGACTACGCTGTCTGACTATGTTCCTAAAATGCGACTCTCCGGTGATGTACTGCGCGAAAGCAGGCCTTCCGACCTTCGGACCTGGAAGTTACGACTAACGTCCAGCTTCCAAAAAAGACATGCTTGCAATGCCGGTCTCTGAGCTCTTGGACTCAAAGGCTTGCAGGTGTCTGTGTGCGCGCAAAGCTGATGCGCAGTTCAGGTATCCATGAATGCGTGTTTACAGAGCATGTAGGCATACATGTACAATAGGTATACATACACACACTTCGCTCTTTGTATGTGCACGTATTAATATAAGTACATGCGTATGTGTACATTAGATCAGTATACATTTATATTTATGTGCATGCATGCATACAGGCAGACAAACAGACAGACATACAGATGTGCATGTACAGCCGTGTGGGATCTTATACGCGTACCTGCTTCGGAAATCTTCGGAATGGCTGCAAACTTTGGAACTCTGCTGCTTCTGCTTCGAATCCAGAGCTCAACGTGCCATCCTCTTCCACGATTTTCGTTGTGGGCTGAGGGTTTGAGGTGCGATGCCCTCAATTACCGGCTTGAAGCTGCACTGATCCTTCCCACACCATCGAATTTCTTAGAAAAAGTCGAGGTTCTGACCTGCAAGGGCTGCAAGGGTGCTGAATCATCTGGCAGAGCGTGGGGTTCGGGATTTCGGGGCTCGCTCAGGTACGGAATGGAGTATGGAGCGCGATGTTTGCACGCACTGCGGTCCAAGCAGAGCACTGAGAGCTCTCGGTCGAGGGTGAGACTTCAAACGGCACAAGGCGACCCTTTCCCCAAGCGAGCCCGGGCCACAGCGCAATTGAGATCGTCCTGAGGTTACATAAATGCCGTTAACTGGCAACTTGAAGCCACCGTCAGAAGTCGCAGGCGCCGCGTCCGATTGTTTCAGGCTTTGAAACACGTGCTGAAGCCCTGCACTTCCGTGCCTTAAACTGCAATTCTGCTCACTGATCGGGTGATGACGCAGTCTTCGTGTTGTAAACTGCCACCATCCTAGCCTGATGCAAGATGGGAGGTTCCCCAGATGCATGGGCAACTTCGACCGACACACGGTGAAGCCACACGAGAGCTTGACCCTGCCTGTCATCCTGTCATCTCAAGCTTTGGATAGACTCTGCCTTCACGCCCTCAGCTGAAGTGCCCTTCAGAGGCCAGTCGTCACACTGCACTCGAAGCAACGAATGCGGCAGGGCAATCAACATGCAATGTCGCTTCGTTTTCTTTGCAATTATCTGTGACGATGCTTAGTGTTTAATGTTCTTCAGCTGCGAAAACATGCTGCAACCGCGTCCGCAAAGACTGGAAATGAAAGCTTGGCCGAGGCGCGTTGGCCACAGGAGATGGAGCCATGCCGGGGATAACCTTGCTGAAGTCACTCAGCTGGCCACCACCCAGGTTGTTGGCGCCGCCTCTCTGTCCTGTCAAACGGCAGGCTGGGGGAGGACTGAGGAAGCTCTCATCATCGAAACCAACCTTCGCCTATGCGAAGTGGCGACATCGGAGGAAGGCCTCCGACGAGTTCGACAACACTGAAGCGAAGCAGGCTGCTCGGTGCACGATCCAAGCGGGAGCACAGTCGTATCCGCCTGCAGCTTCAGGACCTTCAAAGTCCTCACCCGCCAACTCGGCCTGTGGCACGGTTGCAGCACGCTTGGCAAACGCCAGGACAGAGGGCAGTCAGTGCCTTCATCTGCTTGACATCCTCATCTTCTTCCTCTGCCATCTCGTTGGGCATCGGATACATTTGAGACGCCCTGGGCACACTTAGCACATGCTGATGCAACCACATTTACTGCTATCATAGCTGGCTACTGTGAATGTCGCACTGTAAGTCTTGTTGCTAATTGTTGTAGTTGGCCTCGGTTGTGATTGTTGGGATCGGCATTACAAGTATTGGTATTGCTAGCAATAGAGGACGCTCTTCCCTATTGCTGATGTACTGCTACCAGAACACACAGGAAACAGTTTATACTAATCAATGTTCCCATAGTCGGTATCGTTCCTGCTGTTGTGCGGGTACAATAAAATTACCACAACATGACTACGTGGCAGGAACACGAAAGAAGCACCAGTCGCGGTCGAGGTCAATGGACATTGCTGTCGTTGCCGGGAGATTCGGGCTGCTGACTAGCTGATCAGCACTGTCGGGTATGACACAACATCAACGTGAATTCATGTCGTGAGCATCTGCCGCTTCTGCTGCTGCCACCATCGAAATTCCGGCTACTGGCGTCCTCTTTTTGCTTCTGCTAAACCAGCACCCCCACCACCACATCAGTTGCTTTACTACCAACACTACTACCACCACCACCACTACTACCACCACTACTACTATTACTACTACTACTACTACTACTACTACTACTACTACTACTACGACGACTGCTATTACTACTATTTTTCAATTGAACGCTGCGCGAGCGTGCTCTGCGCTTTGCGGGCGCCTTTGGTCCCGTGCACTCGTGAAACTGGTTATCTGCTAGCATTCATTGCTCATATTCCTCTCAGACTGCTCAGTTGAGTAAGACTTTACATCTATGGCTTCCTCCTCCGCCACCTTGTTGTGAACAGACGCGTCCGTCTGTGCACCTGTCCCAGCAATTAGGTCGTACTTCGGGCGAAGCCGGCGCCTAGAGTATCCGTCTTGTGGCGTCCCACACGGATTACTCATGCTGGAGACAGAAGGCCGTAAGGGTCACATGTGCGTACCTGCAGAGCTGAGTGAGTCAAACAGCTGACAGCTGACTGACCATATCGGCTCAGGCGAAGTGCAGTGTCCTGCATTTTGCCGTGGCTAGCGCGCTGCTCTACAGCTCCCGAAGAGATTTGCAAAAGCGTCGGAAGAGCACCGAATTCCCAGAGGCTGTGCCATAGGGGATTTGAGGAGTCTGTGACATTTTCTAATTGCTCCCGTACTAAAATGGGTGCTTAGCCTAAGCGCCCATATTGGGGCAAGAGCAATTCAGCACTAAGCTGGACTAAATTGTGGCGCACTAGGGAGCGGCATTCTCGCCGACGCTAAAAGTGATTGCAAGGCGTGCTGGGACCTAGTCTGATCTTGAGTGAATCTAGCACTAGGAGCCATGTCCTTTGGGGAGAGCGCGGCTGTCTTCAAGGCGCGAGCCAAAGACATTGGGGTGTCGAATGAGAGCTTCGCGAAGCTTGAGGCGGAAGGGTTGACAACGATGGCAACTTTTTCCTCCTGTTGTCATTTCAACCCGGCTGCGACAGATGCTTGTGCTCCGGGCTCTTGGCAGTAGCAGGCGAGGCAGTCATGACTGCCAAAGGGAGCTGGGGGGAAGCTGACTAAATAAAAAGAGCTGATTGAGAGGAAGGAAATTACAGAGTGTGCATGTCCGCGTGCGCTCATGACGCACTTGACCTTGACGTGAGGCGGCCTGCGTCAACATGAAATTGACTACAGGCTTCTCACGCACGGGCGCCCTGCTTAGCCCTGAGGGCCGAGGTTGGGCCGGCATGCATCGCCTGAAGCGATGATGCTAACGAGTTCGTTGCAAGAAAAGCATGTAGACGTTTCGGGAAAGTGATTGAACCAAGGCCGCTGAGGCCCTCTCCGGAAGCTTGTAGTCGTCGCAAATCCACACCTGAGATCTCGCATCCGCGGGGTCCTCTGGCCAGAAGGCTCGGTAGTGCCCGGACGCTAGGGAGTCCCCAAAGTGGGCAACTCCTGCCAGGACTTGGTAGGATCGTTGGGCAGTGTGCTCGCTGGATGTCCACACGGACACCATGGCACGGCCGGTCCAGGCGCACGGCTGGGTATTCTTGACCCCGTCTTGCCATCTGCAAATCACAACAGCTAGGAGTTCTGGGGCCCATACCAGCGCTCGACTAAAAGTTTGCGATTCCCAGAATCTTAGGCAGGCTTGGAGAGACAGAGGTCCCGTCGGAAGGGGAAGGAGAAGAGGACTGACTCCCACATCCGACTCCTCAACGATTCCCCCAGTACGACCCTGCCACTGAGTGTGCTGAAGGGATCCCATGGGCTTTTGCTGCAGATGGTGAAGAAATTCTGAGACATCGTGTTGCCTGCCATCCAGTCGCCAACCGGCAATGGCATGGCGAAATTCAAACAGGCCGAACAAGTTCAGAAGTCTAGGGGCACTCTCATCCCCGAAATGGGTTAAGACAGATTGAAAAGCACCCAGATCATACCCAAAGCTCGATACTTGATGCAAGGCCTGGAAGAGAGCGTTAGCGTAGCAGGAGTTTGCCGTGTTAGACAGTACACGTTTGGGTAAGCCTGTAGGCTGTGGCTCTGTGTTCCTGGGGGCCTGCGTCACAGACTCCTGGTTCGAGTCTGTTGTAGGATGACGAGCTGTGCTCGACGAGTTGGAGGCTGTGCCATTCGACCTAGGTCTAAAAAAGCTGGCCAACGACTTTGTCTGAGGCTTGGGAGGCGGGGCGACGGGATCGACGTCCGCGTCAGGGTGCCCTCGCAGCCACTGCGTGCTTACCTGATAGAGCACCGGACACTGCTCCGGATGCAGTCTGCGGTCATAGACCTTGTAGCCACAGAAGGGACATGAGTGGCCCTTGGCTAACTGGGGCGAGTAGCCCTGACAGATATTAACAGCCCGCCTGTGTAGGCGTGACCAGTCCTTAGGATGCGCCTGACGAAAGTGCGATTTGACTTTGGTGTGGTCAAAAGTCCAGAAGTCACACGTTAAGCACCGATGATTAAGGACCTTGGAATCCGCAGTCCTCGAGAGCTCCGCGATGCGGTGTTGTGGGAGCAGAGCAATGTCCTGTCTCAGCTGGAAGAGAGTCCTAATATCGGGATGGCTGGACTGTTTGTCTGCTTCTTTTAGTGAACGGAGCTTCTGAGGCTCCGGACATGCCCCCGAAAGCAAGTGGTCACGTAGGCCTTTCCATTGATGGAGTTTACGCTTACATGCCGCACATTGCGGCATCCCATCCACAGCGTGGAGCTTTCTATCGAAGCTTGAAGGCACAAAGCGGTCAACGCTCGCCGGATGAACCCTCGACTTATGCAAATGTAGTCCATTTGCTGTCTCAAATGAAGCCGCGCAGAGCGTGCACTCGTATGAGGTTACCGGATGTCCCTCGGGCTCAGGGAGTTGTGACAGGACCAACAGCTTATCTCGGATAACCTGCAGAACCGAGGGGTCTGTCGTGATGTCCGGGCTTTGCACTGCTCGTCGCTCCAGTTTGCGAAGCCGCTTCCTTAGCTTGGACTGCAGTGCGTGGACAGGGTCCTGGATGTTGTAGAGCTGGAAAAGATCCTTAGTGGTGATCCGAGTGGTGTGAGCCGGCAGGTTCAGCACCGATCGTACCTTGTAGGCGTGCCAGCTGCGAAGCTGTTTGGCCGACTCTTCGCTTAAACCGACGTCAGATAGGCCAGTCGTCAAGGTGCTCAGGACAGTACTCTGCCACACCTTAAGGCGTGACATGGTACTTGCATACCTGCGGTTGTAGACGAATTGGCGAACTTGATGCAACTTTTGCTTCGCCTCCCCCATCCGAAAATGCAGAGTCTGCAACTCGAAGTGGTTGTAGGAGATCATAACTCCCACTGGAAGGCAGGGAACGACTTGTTGGGCCCGATGCGCCACCCTCTGACTGGCTCTCCTTTGGGGTTGGTAATCCAGCAGCTGTGTTTGTTCATCACATTTTGTGCTTCTCTACCTGCCAGCTTTACCAAAATGACGCACTTGCCGATGTTGACTCTGAGTCGATGTTTGCGGACCTCCTCCAACAGGGCAGCTATAAGTGCATGGATGGCCTTGAGGTCCTTCTCAGAACGAATAGTCCTATGAAGCGTCAGGTCATCGGCGTAGCCCGTTAAAAACTTCAGAACCTGTTCAGCACCGAACAGATCCACCAGAGACCGGAAGAGGTCACCTGTGAGGAACGAGAATAGGGTGGGAGCGAGCTTACATCCTTGTTTAATGCCTGCTGTGGTTTCGATAGAAGTGGAATCGCCTTGGGCATGTAAGACATATCTGGATCCGTCATGGAGAGCTTGAACGAGGTGGACTGTGTCCTGATCGGCCCCCTCACGCTGAAGGAGACCGATAATCTCTTGGCGAGAGACTGTGTCAAACGCCTGGCTTAGGTCTAAAGCAAAGGTCAGACCGCCTACTAGAGATGGCACCTGTGTGCCTTGCTGTATAGCATGGATGAGCCTGCTCCAACAAAGACCGAGCCTCCCGCAGATGGCACACGACTCGTTCCAGCGCATCTGAAAGCCCACGACCAGGAAGGTAGGCAAACTGTGGCATGTGTTTTAGGAACGAGAGGGTCAGGGGTTGTAGCGCCTCTCTGGCCGCTCCAGCCAGTCCTTTAGCATCCGGTCTCAAAATGCCCAAAGGACGCAAGTTTGCTGGCTTGTCCGAAGGCTTACCCGGTTTGGGGATTAGACAAAGATCGGCGTCGATGAGATCAGATTCTAGTCCACCCTCTACTTGTTTAGCAGCCACATGTCGGGAAAGGACCGGTGCAATGACGTCACTGCAAAGTCTCCAAATGGCAGCAGGTGCAGCTCCGTCAGGCACAGCTTTATTAGGCTTGATGGAATGAATGTGAGCGGCTAATTTGGATGACTCCAAAACCGGAAAAGCTCCAGTCATTGGCCTCAGCGGGGGGTGAGCCGCGAAAACCTGGTTCGCGTACTCCCTGAGTGCCGCAAGCCCCTGCGCTGGGCCTAGAAGATGTCCTGTGCTGTCCTTGAGCTGAGCCCGACGCGCCGGCTGCCAAGGCTGCAGCTTTTTAAGGGTTTGAAACGAAATATGTTGGTCGCCCTCCGCTATGCTGGCGTCAACTTCAGCTATGAAACCCGCTATTCTGTCCTGTTTTGCTTGCTTCACAGCTTGTCTGTGCGCAACTTGCGCCAGCTCCACCTCAGTTTCCGGTTGAGGGAGTGTGTTCAACCCAGGAGGCTGTGCCATTGGTTGATGAGGCTCGATCAGCTGTGCTGAGGGAGCTGTGTTGTCTGCCCTGCAAAGGGTCCTGGCCCTCCACATACGTCGAGTCTCGGATTCAAGCGGGATCAGTCGTCTTTTGGGGAGTTTGGGGAAGAAACGTTCTGCACCCTCCAGCAGCAGTGCATTCCAATCTGAAGGGTCCTGACAGGACTCCATTCTGGATGCTACCCAACTATGCAGTGCCTTGGCTGTGTCGTCCTCCTCACGGACTGCGGCCTGAAGAGCTAGGGAATCATAACGGCGTGTGCTTCCCTTGTGCGGTGGGAGTAACCAGTGGTGCTGGAGGGGGATTTCGGCCTTAATTGGGTAGTGCCCTCCCTTCTTCCAGCTACCCAACGGGCAGTCCGTCCAAGGGGCAGACCTTTTGGCCTTGCCTCCTGCAGTGGATTCCTTAGTAAGGACAAAATCGATTTGCGACTCCACGCCACCTTGAGCAAAGGTGGCAATGTTGTCACAGTGCCAGGTATTAAGGGCCACCAATCGCAACCTTAGCAGCAGATTGGACAAGTGGGATTCGTCAGGACGATCCTCCGTGGGCTGCTTCACGTGTGTACCCACCAATGGAGGACACGAGCGCAGGGAGGTATTAAAGTCGCCTGCCACGACTAGAGAATCCCGCTTGGGCACCTGCTTGACCACCTTAGACATGACTGATAGTACATGAGCACGGTCGTCCTTGTTAGACTGGATGGACTTGGCCGAGGACCAAGCATGTTGATACACAGCCACAATGACCAGCCTAGTACCTGCCATGTCTGCACGAGCTTCAAGGACCCTGCCTGGACTCCACTCCTTCCAGCGAAGGCTCTTGGCTGCAAACTTGGGTGAGAAGAGAATCATGACGCCATCCGCCCGGGTCGTGGATGGAGCCGCTTTCGGTTCCTGCCTAGTCTTGCGCTTCGCGCCCTGCTTCTGCTGGGTGCTACGTTTGGCAGACTCCGAGGCCGAAGAGATGCAATGCCAACCTGAAACACTGAACTCGCTAGTCTCCGTCCAGTGCGTCTCCTGCAGGATAAGGACGTCGCAGTGGTGGGAGGCTTCAGCCGCCAGCCACGTTTTTAGTTCTCCCCATTGCTGTTGACCTAGGTGCCCCGCGTTCCAAGAGACTACCCGAATGGATCTTTCTAGTCGTCCTGCCCTGCGGGAGGCTGTGCCATATGCAGGGGAGCCGTCAGTCTGTGACTGTAGCTCTCTTCTAGTGGGTGGGGGTCGTACCCCAAGCTGGTTGACCAGAGTGGGTGTCAGGACCTGCCCCGGTATGGCACGGGCCCGTCACTTCGTATGGTCCGTCTACATGCTGTCTTGAACGAATTCTTGCGAAGAGATGCAAAGTTTTGTGAGTGCACTGGTAGTTGCGCCATCCGCTACTTTCGTCAAGAGACAGAAGCCTAATGACTCCCTCCACTGCGCGGAAGTGGAAACCCTACCGCCTACCCAGTAGTGTTGCAATGTTTTAAACAGAGTCTGGGCCCAGGAATTGGGACCTGGCGGCTCAAAGCAGCTCCTGCGAGAAAAGGGAGAGGACCATGGCGTAGAGAGGAGGCGCAAACCTTTACTGTTCAGAGAAGGGCCCAGTAGGAGCCTCTAGCACAGCAGTTGCGCCCCAAGCCTGTTCGAAACCTCTCATCCAGCGCGGCCGCTTGAGCACTTGTGGCGGCTGCTATTACTACTACTATTACTACTACTACTACTACTACTACCACCACCACCACCACCACCACCACCACCACCACCACGACTACTACTACTACTACTACCACCACCACTGCTACTGCTACTGCTACTGCTACTGCTACTGCTACTGCTACTGCTACTGCTACTGCTACTGCTACTGCTACTGCTACTGCTACTGCTACTGCTACTACTACTACTACTACTACTACTACTACTACTACTACTACTACTATCATCATCAACACCACCACCACCACCACCACTTGCAGCACCACTACCACCATTGCGACTGCGACGCTGCTGCACTGCTACTCGTACGCTGCAACATACTGCAACACTGCTACACTGCTGCCGCTACTGCTTCCGCTGCCACTACCGCTACTGCTACTGCCACTGGTACTGCCACTGCGACTACTGCTACTACCGCTGCTCCTGCTGCCGCCCCTCCTTCTCCTACTACTACTGCTACTATTGCTACGACTGCTACTACTGCTGCTACTGCTACTGCTACAGCTGCTGCTACTACTGCTGCTACTACTGCTGCTACTGCTTCTACTGCCACTACTGCCACTACTGCCACTACTGCCGCGGCTCTGCTACTGCTACTGGTACAGCTGCTACGGTCGCTGATACTGTAGCGGCCGCCACCACAATCATTGCTGCCGGAAATGTCTTGGGTTGCTGCTGCTAGACGGCCCTGGCCCGCAGCTGAGTCGAGTGCGAGGAAGCCGTACTGTCCGTAGACGTTTGTCGCTTCCAATCTGAGTACATGTCCTGGAACTCTAGTGCCTCAGACGGGTCTAGATAAACGCTCATCACACCTTCTGGAACAACCGGACTTGCAGCAATTGAATGTGTCCCACGTACCTGCCTGGTTGGGGTCTAACATGAAGTCCACTTGGCCTGACACCGGACAGCTTCGGCGGGTGTTTCGACTAGCTTAAAGCAGGAAGGGCTGTAGGCAACGCACACTCACAGAGGTGCTCTGTTCAACATGACGAGGACCCTTTGGGAGCTCAAATAACGGAGGTTCCGCCGACACTAGCCTCTGCTCAACCGGGCTGCCAACACACGGCACGAGTCCGAAGAGATCGCAGCCAGACCCAGCGTTTGTTCAAATCTGTCATCGGCCGCACTCGCTGCGCACCCGAGTCGCTTCCAACGCGTTAGTGCAAGCCCAGCCAAGAGAACCCAGAGGCCGTCGGCTGACAGTGCGAGAACCCCGAAGCACGAAACAAAGCTGCACTGGGCTGACCCTGACAAAACCGGTTGCTCATCCTCAGACACCCGCCTTCTTCTTCTGTGGCACCTTGAGAGCCAGTGGCTTCCTTCGGTGTGGATTTGGGAGGCTTGGGTTGATTGCAGCTGTGTGCAAAAAAGAACGATGCCCTCTCTCATGCTCTGCAACCCAGATTGGGGGTCTCTACCAGCTTGCGGCTACTCTGAGCCATGACGGTTTGTCCTGGCCAATGCCGGCGGCTGCAGACGGATCATCCTGGCACTCCGTGACCAATCATATGCTTCTGCGGCAACTGCGTTTACGCCCAGACAGGCAGTCCTGCCGCACGCGAAGTGCGCTTCGCTTGCCTCCTGCCACTGGATGCAAGCTGAATCGAAGAAACTCGCGACAAACGCGTTTACGGCAAGAAAGCCAAACGTCGCAAGGCCAGCCGTCATCTTTAGCTTCTGGCTTTTCCGCTGGCCCTTTCTTGTCTGTGCCTGGCGGCGGCGCATCACGAGATTTAACAAAGCATGTCAGACGTCATCGCAGACATGCAAAATACCCTAGATCCATAGGGCACGAGCCTGGGGTGGGAATCTTCGGATCCCCTTTAAGAATGTCGCTGGAGATGTTGATCTCAGTGGGTTCCCGATGTTTCTCCTGGGCTGGCAGAATTCATGCCGGTCGCCCGATCACCACCAACTAGAGGGCGACATGTGCTGGGACATGATCGGAAAAAGCCAGGGCCTTGTTATTGATATCGATGTCTATATACATGACGCAAGGTTAGGTTCTGTAGTATCTTATCATCTCTTGTCATATCTTCACTGTTGGCGTTCGGCTACAACCCTTAAACCACAAATCCCTAAACCCCTAAGCCCTAAAGCCCTAAACCCTTTTGAAGTACAGTACATCCGGGATTCGGCATCCGGCTTCTTCGCGGACATGATCCAGGGATGGCTCATGGCAGCCTCGATCCAGCCGGGCCATTTTCTGCTCTTCTCTGGAAAAAGAACCCTGAGAAGAAGACGAAGAAGACTAAGAACTGTAACAGTTACAATAGCAACACTACTAAGAGTACTTCTAAGAAGAAGAAGAAAAGGAAGAGGAAGACTTGAAGAAATGCAAAAATTAAAGCAGGAACAAGACTGTGAATAGTGATAGATTGACAGGTAGTACTCATGATGAGAACCATCATGGCAAGCCGTGCCTTCGCCGTGGTTCTCTTTCTTGGCTTTCTGTTTAGACATCCTTTAAGGAAGGCAATGGTCTTTGAATCAATCGATACCTGGCAGACGATGTCAGATGAGACTTCGCATGCAATTTCCACTCACCGACATGATATGGCTTTGCAGACCTCTGCAGCCTTGGTGCGTCACTGTCCCACTCAATAGTCCCATGAAGGACTGTTAAAAGAATCTCACGGACATTGTTGCCGTCGAAAGGGTAGCGCCCATAGAGAGCAAAGTACACCAGGACGCCAAACGCCCACCTGGGTGCTGAAGCAGGTCGCAAGTGATGAAACGCAGAACGGCAAGCAAGACCTCAGTGGCCGTCCAAGTCGCATATCTACCCGGTAATCATAGCGCTGCCCAACAAGCTCTGGCGCCATGTATTGGGGCGAGCCTGAGATCTTGTCGAACATTTCTCCACGCTGAAACCTGCCGGGATCTCTGACTATGTAGCAACAGCAGGACTTAAGCATTCTGCGCACAGCTTCTGTGACATCGAAGCACGGGAGTGTCACGGATGTGCCGACGGTTCCTTTGCGAATTCTTGTTCATGATCCCATGATATCCCATGTGCACGACTGAAGCTCCTCAAGGACAAGTCAGGAGACAGGAGGTCGTTGGCAAAACTATTGACCGTTCCACTCCAATACCCTTCATGGTACACCTGCACTGACACTTCCGTTTGCATGCATCTGACGTCGATAGTAGCACATTGGCACGAACCCGATGACCAGCCTCGCGGCGATTCCGAAGTCGATGATTTTCACGACTGCCGTTGACGACCACTCAGTTAGCAGCACATTTTCGGCTTTGATATCCCGATGCATGACGCCCTTGCTGTGCATGTAGTCGATGCCACCTTCTGCTGCATGCACGTGGAATCACACATGTGCTTGCTGCAGTGCTTCCACCCACAGACAATACTGCATCTGCAATCTGCAGCCATAGCGTCCCAGCAATTGCTTTGCAATCACTGCGGTGTCGTTTTCGGAGAGGCGATCCATCTGCACAATGCGGTGGCAGACGACGGAAAGTCCGATGTAAATTGCCGCTTCCCTAGCAGTCAAACAATCTGCAGAACGTGCCTCGTTGATCATTTCGAACAACTCACCGCCACGGCACAGATCCATTACTACGTAAAGATAGTGAGACGTCTCCTTAGCTGACTTGATGGTTAGTGAAAGCGCAGCACGGAGCTACAGGACTGCCACGCACGTCCGAGAGCCGCTGAAAGTGCAAGATAAGCCTGGCGTCGTAGACGTCCCAAACCCGAACGATGTTCCTCAGCTTGGCATGCGTAACTTGCAGTTGGCAAGCACACATTCCGGCGAAACCTCTATCGACGAATTGACTCATCCAAGTGGGGCTGAGCCACGCGTGCTTCAAAGATCGTAGAAGTTCGACCTCTTTCCGGAACATCGCCAAGGAATCAAGTTTCTTCTGCCCCTTCTCTCCCTTGTCATCAACCTGTCGTGTCATCCAGCGGCTTCTACCAAGACTGCGTAGCTCAGCTCAACTGCTGCTCCGAGATGTCAGGCGGCGGCACAGTCTGAAAGCAGACCATCTCTGTGCTTCACAAGCTGCTACAATGCCACCTGCTAAGCCTTCAGCCTTCTGTCTCGAAACCCGGAAACTACGTGAACTTGCCCCTGGGCCTGGCGCTCAGTGATCTTCACGGCGCGTAGCTTTTCGGGAAAGGCCTTGACCCTGATCTCCTTCACCTTCCGAGAGCAGAGCATGAAGGGATGCGAGGCGGCTGACTTGCAGTTCGGGTAGCATCAGCGTGGTTTAAAATACGTAAAACAATTATTATCACTATGATAGATATCACCATGACTGCTGTTATTTCAACTTTTCTAACTAGCATGAACTTTCGCATCAATTTTAGTATTGGTTTTAGTATCAGTGTGGGTGTCAGTGTTGTGTTAGTGCGAGTGTGAAGATTAGTGTAAGTGTTGGTACTGGTATTATATTTCGCATTAGTATTGTACCAGTGTAAATACCAGCCTTAGTAGTACCGCATTAGTATTAGTATCTGCGTCAATGTTCGGTGTCAGTGATATTGTTGGTGCTGGCGTTGATGCTGCTGGCATTAGTTTCGGTATTCGTACTAGGACCAGTATCAATACTGGTGTTGGTATCAGTATCAGTATCGGTATTTGTGCCAGTACTAGTATTATTTTCAACTCTATTACTAAGGTTATTACACCGCTGTTCTTATTTATGCTACTTCTTTGGCTTGCTGTCATTGCTTTATCTTGCTTATTGCAACTGCCAATATTTGTATGGTTGTTACTACTGCCACTACTGCTACTACTACTACTACTACTACTACTACTACTACTACTACTACTACTACTACTATTTAATGTGCTGCTATTATTGTCGTTGTTGCCTGTGTGGTTGCAGACTCTGGTTATCAGTATTGTCAGTCCTGTGATTAGCAGGTGTTTTTTCAAAGGGGTGGGGGTTCTTTCTCACTGTCGAAGAAGCGCCTCTCCAAAGGAGCCGCTGCCCAAGACGGCCAGGATCTCATACTTGTCACCTGGATGGCAAACAGTGAAGTTTACTTGGATATTGATTTCTGGTCAGAACTCTGCTCTTCCAGACGTGCTACGACAGCTACGGACTACCCGAACACCGTCAGACCGCAACATGCATTAAAACTAAGCTTTTCACGCTGTCTACGAATCATGACTCTACATACCCATAGTCCTTATGACAGAAACGAACACATGATCTGTGAGAACATTACGACACGGCCATAAGGATACTTTTTAGCGCGATGCTATGCGATGTCGCTCAGATGTTTCAGACAGAGTGTAATCTGGTGATATGATGCTACGATTGTCACGAACATGTATTCTACCAACAGAAACATTAACGATCATTCACGCTTGCCCTGTCCGAAGTCTACTCAATGTAGTGTGGAGCTGGCTGGGATAGAGGAGGCACCGTTGAAGATGGCAGAAGTGCGCCATCTTACGGTACAGCCAGGTTCTTGCATCATCTAACGATGACATAATACGTGACGAACGCTGAGCTGAAGAACAGCTTAGTGCAGAGCCTCTCTAGCTAAGTGTGGGGCGGATGTCACCGGCGCTGAGCACGAGCTGCACATCATCCGGGGGCCTAATTGGCTTCGATGCGTGATGCGAAGCAATCATTTGCCACCTCTTGCATTTAACCAGGCAGTTTCGCAGAATATCACAGAAGGCATCGCCCAAGCAGGGATGTTCGTTCGTCGGATGCCGAGGCCCCGGCGCTTGGAGTTTGGACAGGTCCCCCTTGGCTGGCGGCTGCTTGGCGGCCTTTGCAGTACCTCGAGGCGGCAAAGCGCAAGCACGACGGCCTAGACCCTTCACGGAAACTGCGGAAGAGGCAAAGAACAGCCCCAACAAATCACGCCTGCATTGTGGCCAGCGCCTCAGTTGCAGATGCTACAGTAGTATGGGTTTACATTCTGGGTGTGGGAAGGATCCCAACGTTCAGTCTTGTCTATGAGTTCGAGTTCTGCTCGTCTGAACAACGAGACTTCAAACAGTGATGGCTGATTGAAACAAGTTTGGAATCACCTCAGAATGTTCACGGAACCTTCGCATGCTCTTCTCTGCTCGGTCTGCTCTTTTTCTTTCTGAGCTCTTGCCCTGCCTTACCGGTTTTATTCTGGTGTGATGTCATGTCATCTCTTGCCTCCTCTCGTGTCCGGTTCTGTATTACTGTCTTGCATCACTGCTGTCATGTCTCAGCTTGCATTGCGAATGAGCACACTTCACCGTTTTACGATGGATTGGAGAATGTTCGGCTATAATCGCCCTTCCTTGCAGTTCTACTACATGTTGCACTATCTGTAGCGCGATGGTATGACGAAGCATAGGGCACCGATGCAGTCCGCGGTCTAAATGGTCGCTGAGCGATGTGCTGTATGCCTACGACCCCAACCCAAAATGCCAAAAGCAACTTCAAGAACTACAATTCACTGACGCCCTAAACGAATGAATTTCTACAGGTGCAGGTATCGACAGGCTGTAATGCCTTGTCTTGAGGTTTCGGGCGTTTTCAGTTTGCACCCGGGGGGGGGCATGTTGCACCCTATGCTGTCTGCGGTCTCGATGAGCTAACACGGTCGGACGCCGTGTTATCCCATACTTCATCATGGAGGATGTTGCAGAAGCATATACTGCAATACGATAAAAACACTACAGTAAAGTTTCCTGCAACGTAATGTAACCTGAAGCTGTCATAACGCATCGATGTACTGTAACACGCAAAACACACACACTTCGAGTGGTGCAGCCCAGCTGCCAGCATCAATGGGCTGGCCACTGGGATCTGAATGCAGGTTGGAGATCTGAGGTTCTGGAGCCTGCGCCAGCAGAACGAGAAGCGCAGTTGTTCATGCGACTCTCTCTCACGGCCTATCTGCAGAATCGAAGCCCCACAGCCCAGAGTAGCCCCAGCGAAGCCCGCCTTCGAAGCCTTCGGCTGCGTCGCCTCCACTCGGCTTTTTGAGCCGCAGCCGCCCATTCCTCCTGGAAGCCCATGCAAGAGATCCAAACTCTCTGGAATTCTAGCTGCTAGGCCACAGAATGCCACAGAGCTCCGAATCCTCAAGCCTAGACCTTTTCAATGCTCGATCAGCTTTGCACGCAAAGGCGCAGGCCCAAAGATTGTGCTGGCTTTCAACAGTTCAATGCCCGGCTTTAGGACTTTAGGATCGCCTCCAACACCCCGCCCTGTTCTGGCTCCCCCTCCCATTCCCATGACAACGGCAGCCCCAAGATCCTGCTTTGTGCAAGAACCCAACTTCCCGAGATGCTCAGGCCCGGGCCAGTCTCAAGTACCAAGCATACAGCAAATCTTAGACAGCTAAGATCATGCCCTGGTGAACAGCTGCGGCAAGCAGAAAGCTTCCTCGCTCCGGAATCTACCGTGAGTGCCGCGACTTCGTTGTCAAGCACTATCCTATCCAATTTCCACATCTGACGGTGTATGACAAATTGTTTCAGCTTGCATCCATCGACGAGAAACCGCGGCCATAAAGGATAACCACAATCTCTGGCTAGAAGGGAAGCCCGTCGCAAGTGCAATCTGGCAATTAACATACCCGAAAGCTGGTGGATCATGTATTCGGTGTCTCGTAAAACTGTGAGCTGCACGAAGTGAGCATTCTGGTGCTGGGCACTCCACTGTCGTTTTCATGGGAGATTGGCCAGGGCATCTTTGGCCCAATCATGCCAGGTGCTTACATTTTTGTTTGGGATTTCTGCTGGATGTCGTTGGTGGGGGGGAATACTCGCATAGAGAGTCAATGTTACCTGAAGTGCAAGGGGATGCTACACTTCAAATACCCGCGACTCAGTGGCTTGCCGCTTGGAGGCTTCTGCCTGACCAGACGAATCAAGAAGACAAGCTGATATCTCGACACAACCATGGCAAAACCCACAAACGGCCGTCAAAGAGCCCGCCCAACGGGAGGAGTCTTATCGCTGCAAGGTCTCTGGTGAGCATCGTCGTTCTTTTGCAGTGTGCTTCCGGGGGCATTATGTCTTCGCCAGCTGCTCTCTCCGCATCAGAACTCCTCCGCCGGCAGATGTACAGGCAGGGTCCAAAAGGCTCCTCCTTGCCAACACAGGCTGCAGAGATTTAATCATGCGAAACAAAGGCCCGAGGATCAGATCCTCGGGGTGAAGCTTTACAACCTCGGCAATCTGGAAGAAATCTGCCAGGTGCCGGTGCCGCGCGGGCATGTTCGAAACCTGAGCCAACCCTGATTGCCAAGTGTCAATTGAAACTGCTCCGAACTTGCGCCCCTACTCTCAGCATCTGGCCACCATGCACATGCCATCTGCACAAAGCAGCTCCGAAAGTCCGCGAATGTAGCTTGCAGCCTGGTGGGTGAAGCATTTTGCATACCAGACGACCCTGTTTTCTGACCGCCGCGATTCCCTTAGCTTTTCCGGTCTCCACTTCGGGCAGACTGCATGAAGGACGGTCCCTGCCATTTGGCAGGCACCCAAACGAGCCCATCAGCTGTGTTAGCCTGCTACGGATAGCTCGGTCGAACCAACGATTATGCTACGCAGTTGCCGTGAAGTGGAGGTGTCTGGGTTCGCAAGGGACCCACAACACTCCACAATGTGGCAATTAGACTTTGCAACTGTTCATGACAACACGCGCCGGATCACATCAGGGTACAGCAGCATTTTGGCTTCTTCGTTCCTTCCTCGCGGTGGAGCTGGGAACAAGAGAAACGAGGCAGCTCACCCAATCAGGAAAGGTGTTGAGGACAGCTGCTTCTCGCTTTTCTCACTAGTAGGAGTCTATTGGCGGTGTCTGGTCTGAAAATCATGCCACAAAGCAATTGCCGACGCCCCTGGACTCGCGCTCCTCCTTGACAGGCTTCTCTTTGGAACCGGTTTCGTCTCTGACCTGGCTTATGACAAGCGAGTGTCTGGCACGGCTATCACACGCCCCATGTCATTAGTACTGCTGGGAGTTAAATGCACTACTGTAGCCTCCCTTGCTGCTACACATCCGTGCTCCAGTGCAACCTCTTTGTGCTTCGATGTTCATAAGCATCGGACAATTGGCGATCACAATGCTCTCTGCTGCAAAACTTTACATCCCGGTTTGCACTCTCGTACAAAGATCTCACACGCTGCGATCTGAAATAGCCAGCCAGAGTGCTATGTGGTGTACTTTCATGCCACCGTAGGATATAGTACAAAGAAGTGGAAAGCGCCAGGTGCTTCGTCACACTGGAGTGTGTTCGATGTAAAAACAAACACTAACGCCAATATGCAAAGCAAAGTGCTGAAAACAGGTCACAATAGGAAAGCTGCCTCGTAATCAGTGTCATGACTCAATGTGCAGAACAGCTCAAGCAGGCTGTCATTTGCTCAGTCATTCAGCGCCAACCCGAAGAAAACATCGAAACCCGGGTGAACTTCACATGAAGCCAAGGAGTCGACGTGCATCCTGCACCCTAAACCCTGAACCCCGAAATCCGCGAACCCTCAACACGTAAACCCCAAAAACCCTCCTTTCTAGTAACCCAAACAGCCATCATAGCAATGGTTTAACCATCCAATACTGAATCCTGTGGGCGACTTGCATCATGCTTTTTTGCAAGACCCCAATACCGCGATCTGCTGGAATTCATGAGGGTATCTTTCCGCATGCCTGCAGAGCATCCCATGGTCAAGCCCCTTTATAAAGGTTTGTTCTCTGGTGGCCTCCTGTCAGTCTTCAAACTCGATCCCCGATAAAAAAAAAACAAGCCCAAAGAGGAGTCGAGGACAACTGCTTGCCAATCTCAAGTACCGCACGCAGTCATCTGAACTCAGGGATGTCTCAAAATCAGTTCGACCTCAGCGCGAGCGCCAAGCTTCACTCCCAAACGCCACCTCAGGAGCGAGTCGTTCCATCGTGGGTAGGGCCCATGTCCTTTAGGATAGGAACCTCCATCTACAACCGCAAAGGCTGTCTCATGAAGCCGAAGTGTCCACCTCGCAAAACAATAAACAATAAGAGTCGGTGTGCACGTGCTCTGGCCATTCTGTCTCTGTGCGTGTGTGTGTGTGTGCGCGTGTGTGTGTGTGTGTGTGTGTGTGTGTGTGTGTGTGTGTGTGTGTGTGTGTGTGTGTGTGTGTGTGTGTGTGTGTGTGTGTGTGTGTGTGTGTGTGTGTGTGTGTGTGTGTGAACCTCCCTAGCACATGGGAGCAGAGGGTCACTCCTACACTGTTTGCAATTTTTGCTTTGCAACTCAATCAGACATTTGACATTTACCGAATCAAATGTTGCAGGGGAGTGCGGCATGGCTGTGGGACCGCACTCAACGAAGCTACCACAGTCATGGGATACCGAGTCTGATCAACTCGGCGTACCTGCAAAACCTTGAGCTGGGGCCCCTGTGCCAGCCCGATTAGAAGGCCCCTGTGCCAAGATTAGAGAGTTTTCAGTTACCACTTTTGGCGGTTGATTTGACAACAAACAAGCTGTACGGTTGCCACAATCTGACAAGCTTTTACAACTTGAACAACATGCCTCTCTTTTTCCTCTTGCACTCGTACTCTTGGCCGAATCCATCAGTGTGATCAGCGTGGGTCTATGAGACTCCAGAGCAACGGCTTTCCGTCATGGCGCCGTGGTGACCCTCCGGGGAGACCGGTGATGAACCGGGTGTTCAGCCTTCGTTCAGATCGTTCAGATTCTCCAGATGCTACTTTATCTCTCTCTCTCTGATGCTCGCATGTGAGTCTGACATGAGTGCAGGTGCAGTAAGGGACGGCTAATGCAGTAAAGTGCGTCTAGTGAGCAGGTGCTACCTCTCTAGTCTGCCCCGTATTTTTCCACTTCTTTATTCCTCAGGGACTGCAAGGGCATGTGCATCTGACATGAGTGCAGACGTGGTAAAGATGTCTACAGCAAGTGAAGCAGCGCTCTCTCCGGAGAGTACTCGGCCCTCTACCTTCCTTCTCTCCGTCTACGACCTCTCAAATCAGTCCAGCAGGGACAATCAGGACAGCCTGCACTTTGCTTGTGCAACTGTGTGTGTTTCACCCGCTTCGTTGCAGCTATGTGGCCGGATTATTTTGCCGCGCAGCCACCAGCAACACCATATGCACCAACAGCCCGACCGGTGCTTAATCAATTTCACCAGAACACCTGGGTACCGCAGTCTCAAAGCTACCCAGCAATGATGCCAACCGGCATTGCTGCCACTCAGCAGCCCACACTGCCGACACAACCCACTACGATTCCTCTTGAGCAAACACACGGCTTCCCCATGATGCCGTGTGGACACACCGCTCCTATTCCACAGCATCCGACGATCTACGCACATCTCAGCACACCACAACCCCAGATGCCACAACAACCTCCACCCCAGCAATTCATGTCACAACACCCCACACCGTTCATGAACCCTGCTCTTTTGCCTACCCATCCAACAGCTTTTCCCATGAGCCCATCTGCTTCGACACAGCATCAGGCCCAACCTACCACATTCAACTTTCCTTTTACACCACCTGCCCCACAACCCCAACTTGCACCTTGCAACATCCCTCCCACACAACCCATTCAACAATCCCACATACCGCCGCCAACAACAATTCAACAAGCTCCACAACCCCACCCCACCAGTGTTCCCACTGCCGATGCTGCACACACTGCCCCGCAGACACCGGCAATGACGCCCCAACAACAACAACCAACAAACACAGCCAACACCCCTTCCGTCAATACAGTGCCACCCGCACAACCACCCCCAGATACGGGATCGGCAGACACTGACCAGCTCGCAGCCCGTACTTCTCCCCATCACCCTCCGCTGCCACGCAGACGACGGCATTCACCCACACGCAGCAGAACTCGCACCGTGAGCACTAGACGCCGTCGACACACGCGCAGCCGAGCACGACCTGCAAGCAGCGGCAGACAGCACCGCCGACGCAGACACCATCGATCCCGCGACACTCGCAGAAGCCGTTCTCGCAGGGACACCAGGCGAGCTTCATCGACACCTCCTCGGACCTCGGTTGTGCTCCGCAGCTATTCTACAGTGCGTGATGATGATGCCAACAAGTGGCATTACAGAGCCACACAGCCACGTCAAAGGCCACCTACCCCACCCAAGGTCCCACAAAAAACATTGGCTTCGCAGGTTCAGCGCATCGCCCTCCGCATCAAGGGCAGCCAAGCAGCACAACAGCAGCCCCCAACAAGCCAGGGCACATCTTCGCGCCAACAGCTTCGGCACAATCCCCCCAGCTCTGTTCGGACACCTGCTCCGACTTTCGATGCATCCACAACTGCTGCCCCATCGGGTCAGCCAACCCTCGAACAACTGGGCAAACAGAGCAGACCACCACAGATTGATGTGGCGCCTTTCTCTGAGCTTTATGATCATGAAAAGCCGACACCCCACGCTGTCGACTTGGAGGAAGCGCACAAACTCGCCAAAACTTTGGGCGAGATAGCTGCTGACAGCGATTTCAGGCAGGAAACTTTAGCCGAATTCGCGCATGCCGTATTACAGTCGGGCACGCGCTCAGCGTGCAACGAATTGGGAGCAACGCTGACGCCAATATCGGACGGCGTGCATACTATGTTATTCATCCCGTGGGCTGGTGAGACTCGCAGAGCATTCGGCACTCGTGCCACTGACCCACCAGGGGAAACATACATCTACACCGCCGGACACGGCACGAGCATTGCAAGTGCCGCACGCATAATGCGTGAGGACTTGGTCCGCCCAAGTTCTGTCAGCCATTGCTTCGACGACAAGTCCTATCCACCCATTCCCTCTTGCGTCATATACGGGAATGCGACCCCAGGAGATGTGTCGGAAAGCACGGTACATATAGTTACCGATCAATGTACGCGGCGGCCCAAGGGCCAACAGGGAGTGATCGTCATCGGGACAATACGGACTAAGTATCAGCATTACAAGATGACGTATCGGGACATGTACAGAGAAGCCTTCATCGTGGGGCGAAAGGGTGTTGTGCGGACCCCGGAGAAGTGGGGATTCCACTCCGGGCACTTCAGCATCGTTGGATTCGGCCTCATTCAGTGATGTTGATTTCTTCTTCTGTGTCTTCCTGTAACTCTCTAGTACTTTTTCTTCCAGGCCTGAATCCCTGTACACATAGTTGTTTGCAATCAGGCATTTGCTCCGACCCCGCTTTTGAGCCAAAGAAGATTCGATGCAGCTGCATGCTGGATGCCTCGCACAAGTTGATGTTGACGCTCAAGCCAACCAGGTTGCTCATGCATGTTCCATGTGCAGCTTTTGCAGTCACAGGCAACTGTAGTGCCCCACTGTGCAACCATGTACAAGCCGACACAGCCTCAGTGGCATACAACAATGCCAACAGGCATCATCGGTACAGCAATCAGTACCGTGCAGCGACAAACAACCTCGACCAGCAGTACCCCATTGCACCCGATCTCCCCACCACCAGGGATCCACAACATCCCACCACACACCTCATCACCAATCCCGACTACTTGGGGTTCAGCTCACACGTACAGCCACAACAACACGTTCCCACCTTTCCCTCCACCCCCTCCCCCACCCCAACAGTTTCCCGGACCAATTCCGCCCACCACACTGCCAACCCCCACACCTGCCACTCCCCAACACACATTTGTGAGTCCATCTCCGATGACGACTCGAAACCCCAGCATTTCGTCACATACATTACCTCAAGCCACCGTCGCAACCCAACAACAGCAACACCCCAATCCCACGCCTGCAAATCCCCAGATACCAAACGACTTTGTTCAAACACCGGAGCATTGGGACAACAGGCAGCTTTTTGGCCTCAACCTCCCCAAACACATTCAATCTACACCACATTCAGTGCATAACCGCACAGCAGGCATGCCAATCGCAACAGCACCATTGGTCGCATTTTTGCGACACAATTGGTCCTCGTACTGGCTACGGTACGCTGCACATGGCTTCGACATCCATCTCACATGCAGCAAACACGTCAGCGAAGCCGTTTTTACCACTGAACTTATGGGTCAACTCCGAGCAAGGAGAATTGATCTGGACCAAGCGGCCACTGCATTCTGCTGGCAAGAAAAGCTCACACTCGCAAAACGACCAGCAATGTCACACCTTATCAAGGAATTGGTGTTGTACCTGCAGGAGCTGCAGGACCAGTACAATGACGGCAACAAAAAGGACAAGCAAAATGTCAAAGCAGACACAGACAACACACAATCGCAACCCACCGAATCTCCAACACCACCACAATCCAGCAAACCACAACCTCATCTCCCACTCCAACCTTCGCAGCCGACAGAGACTGACACTCTGGCGGCCCATCGCATCAGCGACCTTGAAGCACGACTTTCAACAGCACTGGAGACAATTGAAACTCTCCGTGCGCCGGAAGCACACAATGAGGCCCCCAGCACACCAGCATCAAAGAAACCAAAACGATCCACCACGCCCAGCACTCCCATCAACACGCCCTCCCCACCACCTCTCTCACTTTCCACAATTGAGATCTCCCCCACCACAACCACCCGTGGACAAAAACGAGCCACCATCGATGACCCTACACACACTGACACCAGGCCTACCACTGAGGGCCTATCCCCCTTCACCACAACCGCTGCAGAACAAGACAACAACCCGTTACACGCTTCCCCAGCATCGTCATCCACCACAGGTATGCACTTCCCGGGACGCTCCACTCTGGGCGCCAAGCGACAGAAGCAGTCAACTCTTACACCAACGAAGGCAGCACCCTGGATCCCAAGATGGATCCCCAGCGCATCTTTCAGCAGCCCACAAAAGCCAGTGTTTGGTTTCAAGATCACTTCACTGGCGTTCACTCCGAATCCGGCATCACTAGATGGTTTGGTGCCATAAAAGGCATCAGCG